GTAGAGATCTTCTTTACAACTGCTTAGTTATTGTATATTTGTTACTTTATACTCTTCTTCCACAGTTGAGGCATATTAAGGTGTTAAACCAGAGACGTTAGAGAACGTAACAGTATTTTAAAAAATGTCAAATCAGAATTACTTACATGAATGAATCCAGCGTACTTTTTGTCTATTTCCACCAACTGCTGGTCAGCTTTATTTCGCATAGAGGGCTCCGGATCTGTACCCATAGCAATTAAATACGGCACACACTTGAAAAACAAACAAAATGATTATTCAGAGTCATTGTACCACCTCTTCCTCAGATGTTTATCTTCTACTACACTGTTGATCTTGTTGTATTATGACTATTGCAGAAACTAGAATAGGAAGCTCTTACTATCTGACTACTTTATTGCAAGCAGATAGTACAACATACACGAGAGACCAGCATTATAAATGACAGTAGTTGTGTTAGACTTCAGGTAGTATTTCCCTTTCTCTCAAACTCTAAAGTCAATCACACTACAAAAAATGCCATTTAAAAAAACCAAGAAACCAAACCCCACCACTTATGATTGAACATGCACAATGACTGCACTATAAAAAATAATTACAGAAACATTACGTAAGCAAAGAATAACAGAGATGACAACTGAAGTTCTGACGTTGACTCTGGAATTCCATAGTGTTTGGAGGTGACAGGGATTGAAGTGGAGGTAAACTGACATGTTTTCCAAGATAAAGAATCAAATGAAAAAAACAACTTGGCATACACCTGAAATCTATAACAGAAATATGCTCCAATGTACATTTGTACATGCTCTTTAGGCACTGGCTGGGCTTCTAGATCTTAATCCAAACCTAGAAAATACAGCATTTGGGCTCTCACTGGCTAAACAACATAAAACAGGTTTCATAGTATGCTTTCTGTAAAGGCCCCTTGCTACAGTAAGAAATTACTGCAACATAGCTGGAAGAGAAGAACTGGAAATTTATTCAGCAAGTGTGAAAACCCGAGTAACAAAAACCTCCATCATAAAAGCTTACCATACCTGAACAGGATGAATGAGACCCTGGTTTAATGTCAGTGCAATGACATTTAGAGCAAAGTGGCGTACACTGGACTGAGTATGAAAGAAAGCCTCAAGGACCTGTTTGAGATATAGCTGCATGATGGAACTACTCATCCCTGAGGAAATATCACCCATTTCTTTCAGGTCTTCCTGTTTTGCTACTTTTTTCCCTGTAAAAAGTACAAAAGCAGAAACACACTTACTACAGTATAATAATTTACTTTGTTAATACTTGATGCATGCTAATTTTTAAACTTTACAATACATACACATTCCAGCTGTCTTAAAATGGGTTTATGATCTCATGAAACATAGTACAGTCTGATGGTAAACATACATCAATAAAACTAAAGAGACATGACTAATTCCATCTTGTTACTTAATAATGTTTTTTCATTTGAAAAATTTCTTTTGTTGTATCTATTATTTTCTATCTGCATTTCTTTTGTTGTATCTATTCTCTTCTATCTGCATATTAACGTTAAGAGGATTCTGATAAAAAGTATTACTACCATCATTGCAGCAACTATGCATTCTGGATTGCTTCTTGATTATACAGCATGAAAGTAAGTAATGTGCAAATTCTGTGTATATGCCTATACACTTAATGAACTTCTGAAAATTATGTTAAGATCATTTGGGTACAATATTACTGATGAGATAACAATCTTAAGTGACTCAGTTCACACATATAGTAATTGTATGCAAGAAAGTTAGGTTTTGCATGCCTCATTAGCACAGTAAAACTCAACACTTACAGTCTCTGTCTGCTTGCTGCATACGTGTATCCTCCTCCTGCAAGTAGGTCTGGAGGTTTTTTAACACCTGGATTTTTAAGTTTACTGAACAGTTCTTATCTGAAAGAATGCTGTTGTAGAGAGTCTTCACTTCCTGTTCGAACATTAAACTTGGGTGTTGTATAAATGCAAATCCTAAAAGTGGAAAAAAGAGAGGAAATATTCCACGTTATCATAATCTAGAAATTTCATTTCTACTTTTCAAGTCTTTCTTCAAAATAGAGGTATGCAATTTATCTCCTCCCAACAATGTAGCTTTTTCTAGCCCAAACAGTATCACTTTTTTACATGAATACCATCCATAGCTTACAAGGAGTTCTGTTAGCTGTGACAGTTCTATTAGCTATGAGTCTGACGGATAAAGATGGGGTGTCGACCCAGGGCAGCTGCACTGAAGAGCTATACAGGTCTGAAAGCATGTCCTGCATAGTGGCTTAGATATGAATGACTAGGACCACTCGCAGACAAAAAGGAGGAACACTACTAGAAATTACCTGTTTTTTTCCTAATGCATTTGGAGAAAAACAGTCTGCTGAAACTGTAAAGAGTTATTAAGACAGAGCAAATGTGGAAAAACTGATAAATACTGCAAGTATTTAAAAATAAAATCTTAAAAAAAACCCAACCAACCAACAGTGAACAACAATGGCCTCTTACTGCCATTATTCATATACCTATTAAGATCTTCTCTTGAAAACTATCTGAGGTGTTCCCAAGACTACACCTGTTGGAAGATACACACTATATAACTGTTTTTAGCTGCAGCTTTTCTCTTCCTTCAAGGAACTGGTTCTTAGCTCTTAGTCTGTATTTCATAAAAACTTTTCTAAATTAGTGGCAGTAGATACCATTTTAGATCATGTATACAGATATAGAAGTGCTGCTAACAAACTAACAGAGTACCACCAAAAAACAGTAATGGGAACATAACATCCTAATTGAAATTACGTTTAATTACTTGACTTTTTGTTTTTAAGACTGTTCAAGAAAAGCAGAGACTAAATGCATTTTTATGATCACAAAAAACTAAGACTCTGAATGAATACACAACAAACATATGAATATAAAAGAAGAATGGGAGGGGGAAATGAACGAAAATAAAATTATGCAAAAGCAATGTATAAAAATAGCTGTAACACAGGGAAGACTGAGTCAGGTTTGTAAAACTGGCTCCTTACACAGAGAAAAGACAGTGTAGGTGAAAGCTAAGTCCAGGCCAAGACTCCAGTGTGTTTAAGATCTCATTTCAGTCTCAAAACAAGAAGCAGAGAGAAGCAGGGGAGGCAGAGGGGAAAGACAAAAAAAGGAATGATGATGGCCTTTGGAGTGTGTAGTGTGATTGTGCACCCTATATGGGTGCATATTGATGTTTACAATTTGACCACCTCTGAGCAAGTCCAACTCGTTTCTTAAGGATAATTTAAAAAATGAAAAGCACATGTATGTATGAGTAAAAACCCACAACACATTTTCTTATTTTTCCATTCCCTGTAAGTGGGTAAGAAATCTTATCTAGCATTAAGAATTTGTCACAGGAGATTAAAAAGGGCATCTGCTGTGCTCATTTAAGGACTGACTTCACATCTCAGGGCTGGCCTCACACTATTTCTCTTCATACCTTTGTATTCCCTCTGTTAAGAGTCTTAAGAGTAAGCACTGAACTTGGCTGAGTAAGACATTATCTGTTAGATACTTACAGGTTTAGATAAATTTACTAACAGACTTTTATATCCTTAACCTGCCCTACATCTGGAAGAGAAGCATAACCATAATCATTAAGCTTATGGTTAAGCTTAATCCCTCAACAGCACTGACACATCCCAAAACAAAGGCTAAAACTGTCAAGTATCCTTACTGAAATGACATACTAATAATTGTCAACAAGAACATGGTGCCTTCACTGTGCATAAATGTTGAATTGGCTTGCTAGTTCTTTACACCTTACTGCTGCACACAGATGTTGAATGGCTTTGACGACTTTGCTCAATTACAGCCTGTAAGGTGGAACTTTGCACTGTCTACCAAGTCTCCATACATCCAACAGCTACCCTCAAAATGGAACCAGTACTTAGATGAGATCAATGCATCACTGAAAACAGTTGTCCAAGTTTTAATTAAGGTTGGTACATTTACAGAGAAAAAAAAATAAATCTGAAGAATGCCTACTGACAGTCACCTCCATTTTTCCCCTTTCTCGCCAACTGATCACAGTTCAGTCTATAATTTGGAAACATTTTTGGTAAATGCAACATTCTCCAATCCATAAGCAAACCAATCATGACTATAATCAGGAAGACAGTCTCTATCCCACATGCAGCATTCTGAGGAGGACAATTAAATTTGACTGGACTACAGTAGGTACTGTGCACCTTGATGTAATGCCTAGAAAAACTCCAACTAGTCCAGAAAACCCTAGCATTGCTCTTGCAACAGAGGCAACAGTAAAGCTTACATTAATCACTCTCAGCTGTCTAACATGGTTCCTAACAGAATATCAAATCAAAATTCAGTCTTCATCCTTAACCTTAGAGTCCCCCCTACCATAATTTGAAGCAGGACATCTAAAAAGCCACCTAAGGAGCAGGCTAAGATGGCAAATTCTTGTTCACAGTTAAACTGTACAATGTAAGCTCGCATGCCTTGGAGACAACTTTCTTCAGACTAAGCCATAACCATGGACTAAACTCTTTCAGAAACCAAGGCATATCTACCCAAACAAGATTCTCTCACATGTAGTTTTCGTCCTTAAGATGAGGATAAACATGATACAAACCACCCAATGGCAGTTCATGTACTACTGCAAGTCACCATTACTAATGCCTTCATGTAAACAATCTATTTAAAAGTGAAATACAGCTAAAATCCCAAAACAAACTGTAATATCTAGACTATGACATGATCTCAATGCTTCATGAAATCTCACAGAACACCCTCTAGTTAGTATCAACTGTCAGAATTCCATTGGCTCCTGCAGAATATCTGCTCCTACACTTAAAGTGCTTAAAGTTTTTCCAGCATATTTTCTAGTTGTTCTTTAGCCATACCTTGTGGACCAAAAAACAATATTCAAGAGTTACAACATGCATGTGGAGAAAAAAATAACACCTCCATCACTTTGGAAATCCGCTGCACTTTAAGACTTGGTCACACATCAAAAGGCATTCACTGTCAAAAGCATCCACTCTGCTGCAGAAGTACGCAACTAGCCACACTTTGACAAATTTTCTATCGCCAGTTCTCAAATAAAACATGCAATTAATTTTTATTTTAAATAAACTCCCTTGCCACTACACAAATACATGAATTCCTACTGATAGGCATGGAGTTTTACTATAGTAGAATAATAAAAACTATTAATATTTCTTACCAAGGCCAATAATGGCTTTTGTCTGTACCTCTTCATCTGAATGCTTTGTAAAATACATCAGCAGTTCAAGTACTTTATCCTTAATGTTAACCTGAGCAAATTAAAACAAAAATAATAGCTATTTGAAGATGAAACAGATGGTTTTAATCTACTATAAAAAGCATAAATCATCAAAAAGAAAAGGAGAAACACAATCTTACTGCATGGCCTTTGCAAAACCATGTAAGCTATATTGTATGCATTATGAAAAAATACATAGCTTTGAGGGACTAGGAATAATGTGCTTTCAAATTAAAGTGAAGCATTTAATATAACTAAGACATGGAGAGCAAATACAAGTTATTTTACCTTACTGTTGCCCTTAAAATCTTCCTGATCAAAATCAAAATGCCGACACAGTGCTCCAACAGTGAAAAGTGACCTAAGGAGTGCTGGTTTATTGGCAGTAACTATTGTACTGTTGGGGTCTTCTTGGTGTTGACTTTTTAATTTTGAAAGTGCACCTACAGTAAGATAAAAGTTTTGATCACAGTGAATAATCATGGTGTATCCCTACGATAAGACTTGTAGTCAAAACTGAAAAGTGACAATTTATGCAGTGATTTTACTTACCATAGTATCTATTAAAGCAAGCCCAGACAAATTTATAGTTCTGAGTCACTTTGTTCACAACAGCCCCAAGGCAGCTCACACAATGCTGAACAACCTAGGAGCAAGAAAGAACAAATGAATTATATATTCAGAAGCTAAAATTGAGATTTTTGTGAAGTTACATAGGAAAAAGCTATGCTAAACCAAAACTAATATTCTAACAGATGTAATGCCCACTCCTAGACTGCTCTGAAAACCTGCTCAAACTCCCTAAAATATAGTAACATCAAATACAAACTCCAGTAAACCAAATACAGTGATTTTTCACGGCTCAAAAGTTATCCTTACAATGAAGACAGACTTTCTTTAAATCAAAACCATGTATTTCACAATGTGAAACAGAATCAACTGAATAGTTGCAAATAAAAGCTTACCGTCATGCCATATTTGATGATTAGTTTCATGAGGTCTTCCTCAATAGTGGCGAGGAAGGTCTCACTTGGGTGCTCCATTAGTGGCACTACAAGCTCTAAAATTTTTGCAACATTGCAGATCACCATGAAATCATTCTGCGTCTGAAACAACAGTATTTATAGTGTTTACCACTTCTGGTACTGTTACCTATAAGTTAAATATTGTTAATATGCACTGACTGTCAAAAATCCCTACTCATTTAAGATGTTTGGCAAAGATCTAAAAGATTATTTATATAGTTTACATCTGCTATTAAATGACACACTATTCTGAAAGCTAGTTCTATTTTCTACAGAACTTCTGGGAAAAAAAAATCCATATGAGCAGAACTTCAGCTCTCATCAGTACTGTGACTGACCTGAAAACTTCTGGTCCTCAAAAATCTTTTGGACACCTACAGAAATCTAGACCTTCTCCTGATACATGCACATTAGAGAACACACAATATCTGGAAATACCTATCTGGAACAAAATGAAGTTGTGTTATGTCTCTGTGTGCCTTAAACAAAATAGGTAATAAACCACACAAATGTAGAAATTACATTTAAAATAATAACTGGTATTGGTATTGTAAGTGCAAATCCATGGAAAACTTTTATCTATTAAAGATACATCCTGCTAGAAAATAACCTGTTTTGACAAATCAAGCTCACTAATCAGGGCAGAATAATTCCCAAACGCTACTGTCAAGCTATTTAATATATTCAAGATGAGAGTGGCAATTCTACAATTCATCTCAACCTGCGTATGTACAAAACCAACGTAACTCACACTAAGTTTACTTGCAACAAGTAAATAATCAGATAATCCTTTCCTACACTGTTGAACAGAAGAAGCTTCAAAAGGCTGTTTAAATGTGCCTAGAGAACACTCCAGGGATGAACCTGAAAATGTTATGCTATATCTACAATCTAAGTTGGTAACAATCTCTCTTAAGCCTGCCCTAGTCAGTTGACCTAATGTAATGACTGCTGCCACCCACCCACTCACGCTCCTCCTTGCCTGCATGATCCTGCCCTGCTCCTTCTGACAGATCAGGGATTCATAACAACCTTCACTGCGTCAACTGTACTAATCAAAACAGCAGAAAGCACCAGAATGTTTCAGAGGAGGGGTGTTACTTTACCAGAGTGGGTGGTTCTCTACCATTTTTGTGAGCTAAACTGTCTTACAAGGGAATACAAAACCATGAGAGTTAGGGAAGTGACAGGTGAGTTACGGAAGAGTATGGAGCAGGACATTTTCATTCTGACACATGTGCTATATGTTAAATCACTATCTTATGGAACCATACCTTTAGTCTTCAGATTCTTGTATTTACATATTAACTATGTTTAAGACTGTTACTATAAAACAAAAGGTTTTAAAGATACTATTTCATAACAGGTGAAAACCTGGGTCTTAGTCCTCAAGAAAAAGAGGCAGAATCACAGAATGGTACTCGGTGGAAGGGACCTCTGAAGATCATCTAGTCCAACTTCCCTGCTAGAGCCAGAGAAAATCACACAGGAATATATCCAGGTGGGTTTTGCATGTCTCCACAGAAGGAGACTCCACACCCTCTCTGTGCAGCCTGTTCCAGTGCTATGTTAACCTCACAGTAATTAAGTCTTTCCTTATGCTTAGGTTGAACCTCCTGTGTACTAGTTGGTGACCACTGACCCTTGTCCTACCGCTGGGCACAACCAAGAAGAGTCTGATCCCATGCTCCTGACACTCATCCTTTAGATATTTATAAGCATTAATGAGATCCCTCCTCAATCTCCTCCAGGCTAAACAGACCCAGCTCTCTCAGCCTTTCCTCATATGGGAGATGCTCCGGTCCTCTCATCATCTCAGTGGCTCTATGCTGGACTCTCTCCAGTCATTCCTTGTTCTTCTTGAACTGGGGAGCCCAGAACTGGACACAATATTCCAGATGTGGCCTTACCAGGACAGAGGAGAGAGGGACCAGAACCTCCCTTGACCTGTTGACCACACTCTTCTTAATATACCCCAGGATGCCATTGGCCTTCTTGTCCATGAGGCCACATTGCTGGCTCATGGTCAGCTGCTGTCCATCAGGACCCCCACATCCTTTTCCCACGAGCTGCTCCCCAGCAGGTCAGCCCCCATCCTGCACTGATCCATTTGTCTGTTCTTCCCCAGATGCAGTACTCTAAGCTTTCCCTTGTTGAATTTCATTAAGTTTCTCCCCTCCCCACCTTTCAGCCTGTCCAGGTCACACTGAATGGCAGCACAGCCTTCTGGAGTGTCAGACACTCCTCCCACCTTTCAATCATCACCAAATCTGATTTGCAGCACAGGTTTCAGTTCCATTTGGCTGTAAAATGTGGAGGTAGAGGGTGAGGAACAGCATCTTAGAAGCTACAGAGATCATCAAAAGGACCTATTATCTTCAGTAGCCATGATGTCCACGAAATAAAACCACAATTTTCAGTTTTCTTCTCCTACCTTCAACTTCATATGAGACAGTCATTTGTTTCCATGCTTTAATTATCTGGGGAAAAAAAAAAGACTGATTTTCTCTACTTACACTACATTTAGTGGTCAGGTATGGCTGTATGGTCATGGCATGTTTGACCATTAGCTGGGGCCTGATTTTGCTGAATAAGAACAAAGTGGTTATGCAAGCAACCAAGCGACCAGAATTCACTCCTTTGTTATCAGAATCTGCAAAAAATTAGAAAATACAAAAAAGGATATTAAAGTCAAGTTATGTTTGAGTAATGAAAAACATATGCCTTAAACTTCATATAAATATCTCTGTGGTTAGCTAGTGAAAATTAGGGAAGCTTTATTATCACACAGTGCTCAAAAGTTCATAATGAACTTAAAAGCAGTAATTTATTACCATCAGCTTTGTAACAGGAATTCTGTAGTAGTAACTCTTTGTGATACTGATTTGAACAACCACTGTTACAGTATCATACAAAATTCAAAGGAGTTTAGCTGATGGGTTATAAATAGTATTACCTGATAAGGATTCTTCATATTTAAGAATATGCTCAACCAAATTGTCCACAAGCTGAGTACAGGCTTTCTTCACAGGTTTATACGAGGCATCCTCTTCTGATTTCAACAGCTGTAGCAGATAAAACAAAATTATTTAGTATTAAGGGTGCATTCATTTAAATGGGATACATGCTGGTTTTATAACAATCACTACATATACACAAGGATTTTATACTACAGAGGTAATTAACTTCTCCATAAACGCTACACAGTGAAGAAAAAATTAATGTAAGTAAAAAAATCAAACCAAAATGCAAGAGAAGTAAACAAAAATTAACAGCAATAAGAAAACCAGAGAAGTTCTACTGATTTTTTAAATTGGGTCGAAAGCTAACTTTGTGCTTAATGAAATAATGCAGAAAACAAAACTGTCGTATACTTGCCAGGAGTAATTAATGGGAGTTAGAAGGTTTTTTTAAAATGCTTAGGAAAAAATAGAAAGGAGCAAATTCAAAGGGAATGTTGGTTATCATACTAGGCGAAAAAAAAACAACCAAAAACCAACAAACTAAGATGAAACATAGTTTCATGAACATTTTTATCACTTCACCTTCTTCTGTATTAACCAGTGCATGAAAGATGTAGAGGAGAATGGTAACACAGGCTAAAACATATAACAAAGCAAGCTCCACTGTCAGAAAGATCAGAGTAAAATATAACGTAGAAGTAACCTATACTTTGAAGATTCACTGTTTCTATAAACTGTGTAACAAATACACTGGATGTCAAAATACATTTATGCACCATTTTTAAAAAAAACCCTGCATTGCAGTAGATGTCTCATTTCATAATTAAGTATCTTAGCTGTGGACATCATGTTATGTCACTCATTACTGAAGAGACTATAGAATTGAAAAAAACCAACCCCTCCAAAACCAAGAAGTGAAGTAATTTTCAAATACATCATATGGAAATACAGAAACTAATGTCAGAGACAAAGAGAACTGCACCAATGAAAAGAAAAATCAGATGTTTAAAGAGCATGAATTAAAAGATTAGTCTTGTAGCCCCCTTTCAATGTGTTTTAGTACCAAAAGAAATTTTAAAATCCTAACAATTATTGTACCATACATTCAAAGTTCATTACTCACATTTTGAAGAAGTTGTTCAAACCAATCATACCCTGTATCTCTACAAGCAGCAACCTAGAAGTTTTTTTGAGAGTAAACTTGTTAATAAAAGAGTAATTTGAAGAAAAATTACTTCAATACAGATGTAATCTTTAAAGATTAGAAAACATGCATAGATACATTTTCATATGCATTCAGCAGTATTGTTTTCTATCTTTGGAGATCAGAAACTCTATTCTGCATTTGAAAAATAGATCTCACCACTTAACTCACTCCAGTATTTGTATTCCATACAACATAAGGCCTACAGATTTTACTGGAGACCACTGGCTCTATCATAATCCAAATTTTGGCTTTATAGAACATTTTGCACAGATTAAAGCACAAGCACAAGCTTGACATATTAAAAATTAATATGCACGTATGTGTATGTGTCTGTGTCTGTGGATGTGTATGTGTATTTTTATATAAGCCTTCTCTGTCAGGCAGAAAGTGGAAGCCCAAAT